CCGCACAAAGCAAAAAGAAAGGTGAAGTGAAAGGAGAGGATGATGGGGAAGCGGGGTGGTCGATGTTACGGACACGTACATGAGATATCTTGCAGATCATCGCTTTGAGTCTCTGCCGCATGTTCTTCCTGTAGCGAGGTTGCTGCGTCCAGTGACGCCGACGACGGCAGCGATAGCGACAGTTCCAGCAGCAGCAGCGATGCCGGCAGCAGCAGTAGCTCTTCGAATTCGAGTGGTACCGATGATACCAGCTCTAGCGACGATGAGGAGATGGAGGACAGTTGTAACGAGGGGGGTTGGGGGGGGGCGGAACCATGGCCGGCTGGAGGTTCTACGTCATGGCCGTGTGTGTCTGCGTAGCGAGGTCTGGGGAGCGATATAAGTCTCTGTCGTGAACAGGACCTCTGGCCAGGAGGTTTCCAAGGTCAAGCCGTCACCCTTCGTGTTCGTGCTGCTTGCCATCTCAGCAGAGAGTTGCGCTGCGACATCTACGTCTGTGACTACGGACAGAGGACGAAGAAGGCTGTAGAGCTTGACGTGGCTTTCGACTCGGAGGGTTGCTTGGCTCGCATCTGCTCATGTTCGATCCTTCAAAAAGTGGACCGGCACCGACTTATGGAGTTCCGAAGTAGCTACCTGAGCCCGCAGTATGAGCGACTCTAGTACTTTTAGTATCAATGATCGTGCCGGGGCCTTCTGACGGTCGCCGTTGGTATCGAAGCCGGAGGGGTCTAGGGAAAGCAGTGCAGTTGAGCACACGGACGTGTCGCTCCGGAGGTATAGACGTATCAGGCTGATGTTGACTGGTCCCTAAAGTTAGTGATGCTGAAGGTTGCTAGAGGGCGCTTTATTCCTGCTTTCGACAAGGCCCAGTTGGTTGCGTCTATCTCGTAGCTACTGCCGCTTCCTGTCTTTGGTGTGTGCCGGGGGGGCGGTCCGACCGCATCGGCTGCTGCGCATCCATATCTCGACCAGGTTGGCCGACCAAGTTGTATTTGCTGCTAACCCGCGAGAACGGCAAAGCCTACTACGCCGAAAAGCAGCTCTGGGAGTCACCTTCGGCCAGGTCGGCACGCTAGCGAGCTTTGTTGGGTTTTGATTTGTACTCCGGGTTTTGGCCGTGCATCTACTAAGCGTAGTGATGCTCGGACGCGGGAGGTGGCTACTTGCAGCAGCAGCGACCGTGGAGAAGGCGTACAGCCGAATTGCCCTGCTGCTGACTCCTTCTGTCCTGAAGACGTTGCCGCCCTGCATCGACGTCGAAGTTATGCCGGAGGATGCCTTTCTCAACCGAGAGGCTTGCACGTAGGGTCCTGTCTAATGTGCATAGCCGACTTCGAGTAGATGTTAGGGCCCGTTGCCGTGCATGTTCTCTGTGGCAGTTGGACGTCCAGTTCAAAGACGGCCAAGCTGAGTTGGGCATTGAGGCTGCACGGGAACTCGGAATATGTGAGTTGAAGGAAGAGATGAGGTGGCGAAGCAGGCGCTACCTCTTCAGTATCACACAATTCCGTGGACTACTCTATGCGCCTTCCTCCGATGAGACCGTTCTTGTCGCCGGATAGCAAAAAATGAGCTGTAGATCGAATGCCTGATAAAAGCCTTGCATGCCGTCTTTCGTAAGTAAGGTCAAGGGCAACTTCTGCATCGATCCTTCCCTGGGCTACAAAGTGATTCTGCCGGATACATCCGTCAAGATCCGGAAGCATGGGAAGTGTGACGAGCTGCAGTACGGGATTGACGTTGTCCGCACCTCCGACAGGGCAATGAAGTCGCCAGGTGCTTTGCCTGTCAACATTGTCGTGCAAGACATGCCAACGTGTATCACTGCACCATCGCTCGATGCTTCAGGTCTGACCGTAGATGCCGGAGTCGATTTGTCGTGATGCCCTGCAGGGATGTCTTATTTCATGCTGGCGATGCTGCGGCTACGGGCGCTCTGTGTGCCGGACGAGCAGCAGCGGCGCGACATCCAGCAGAGCGTGGAGGAGCGCAGTCGGTGTGATGTTCCCTGCCCGATCTGCCCTGCGCGAGCTGGGTCTCTTGACTCTGTCATGATACTGCTTCGCCTGGCAGGAACTCTTGGAGGAGGCTCGCGATTTTACCAGAACAACCCTGGTAAACCGATGCTTCGGGCTGGGGGACCTGGATTCCCATCCAAACGACCTCATTCTGGTCCAGCGCCGAACCACCACCCCGCCGCGATTGCCCGCTGGCGCGGTCATAGTCGGGCACAATGCTCCACTTCATCCCAGTAGTAGTAGTAGTAGTAGTAGTAGTAGCAGTAGTAGTAGCAGTAGTAGTAGTAGCAGTAGTAGTAGATCCCAAATACCCTTAGGCTTAGGGTGTACTTCAGGGGTTCGGCTCTAGATTTGGGGGGGTTTAGGGTTTAGGTCTCGGGGGTGTAGGGATCAGAAACCTTCACCCTGGAAGGCCCGAACCTCGAAATCCCAAAGCCCTAAACCAAGTTAAGGGTATAGGGTTTAGGGTTGAGGATTGTTCTGCCCTACGTCAACAAAGAGGTCGGCGGCGACGTGATTAGCATCTCTGACGGCACGGCTGCGGGTTTATGGTACCTGAATTCCCAAACCGTGAACACCATGAGAAGGAAATTAAGCTCGAACCCCTAATCCCGAGACTTTAAGACCTCGACCCCAAACCCTAAGCTTTAAGCTCTAAGCCCTAAGCCCTGAACTGTAAGACCTCAACCCTGAACCGTTCACTTCGAGAGCCCTAAACCCTGAACCCTAAACTTAACATTCCTAAGCCCTGAAGCCTAAACCCATACTATAGGAGCCTAAATAATTACCACTACTATTTTGCGGGCTCCTTGTTCTAATTATAGTATAGAATACCCCAAAACCCTATTCTAATTTTTAAGGCCCACATTAGGTTCTTACCGGGAGTCATCCTTTGGGGTTATCGGACCTGGAATTCCTCGGTCCGTTTCCCTTGGCTGCTCTTTTAAAGCTGCTTCGAGCTCTTATTTAGAGTTTAGGGTTTAGGCTCGTAGACACATCGATACAAACCTCGATGGACTCGCTTATCGCTCATGAAAGCATGATCATTGGGATGTTTGAGGTTCAAGATCCCATGTGTTTGTTCTGGCTTCCGGTTGCGGCTGAACTGCATGGGTGTGGTGTTTTGGAGTTTCGGATTTCAGGTTTAGGGCTTCGGGATAGGATTTTCTCTCCACCAGAGCACTTTGTTTGAAGCTCCAGAGCCCAGATGCAATCACCATCTCAACTTAAACCCGCAAGCGCCACGCCAGGAAAAGGCTAGGGGCTTCAACGCATAGAGAGGTCACGTCGTTTCAGCTCACAGGTTGTGGCATTGCTGTATGTCTTTTCTTGGGTTTTGAGGCTTACTATCAGGGGTTAGGGTATTGAGGTTTTTACAATAAGGTTTAGGCCCTCGCCCTTTGATGCAACAGGGGCCACTTGCAAAACTTTCAGCCCCACGGGTATTTGGGGCCTAAATCCCACGATGCAAATCCTGCGTAACCTTCAATCCTAAACTCTACAGCCCAAAGCCCACCCGATTAACATAGAACCTACTACAGAAGCCGACATAAATACATATTACTGCTTCGGGTTCTTAATTATAACTATACTACAAAGGAGCCCGAAACCCTATTCTAACTATTAGGGCCTGTAGACCCTAAACCCTTGTAGTGGCCCTTAAGGAGCCCTTTAAGGAACACCGAAAAACCCTGCTAGTAAGGCCCCCTACATCAATCGAGCCCGAAACCCTACTCTAACTATTAAACCCTTAACCCTACATCCTAAATCCTAAACCCTAAACCCTAAACCCTACATTAATAGAGCCCCAGGCTTCTCGAACTACCGGACGGCTGTGAACAGCCTGCTCCTCTTCGGTGGCGTGGGCGTTGGGAAGCTGGCAGACAGAGCGGGCCCCAAGGCGGGAGCCTTACCCAAACCCCAAACCCTAAACCCTCAATCCCAAACCCTAAACCCTCAACCCCAAACCCTAAACCCTCAACCCTAAACCCCAAACCCTAAGCCCTAAACCCTCAGCCCTAAGCCCTTCAAAGGCCCTCTAAAGGCTCCTTACAAAGGCGGACCCGATCCCAGCCCCCAAGGCTCCCTAAACCCTAAACCCTAATCCTTAAACCCTAAACCCTAATCCTTAAACCCTAGGGTTTAGGGTTTAGGGTTTAGGGTTTAGGGTTTAGGGTTTAGGGTTGAGGGTTGGCTGCTCCTGAGTTTTTTCTTCAGGCTTCGTTGCTGGTGGTTTTGCTGAGTCTGCAGTTTCTCGGGAGCTGCAGTAGGCGTCATGGGTCAACGATGTGGGGGTTTAGATTTCGGGTTCAGGGTTTAAGGATTAGGGTTCAAGGATTAGGGTTTAGGGTTTGGGGTTTAAGGTTTAGGGTTTTTAGGGTTTACGGTTTTAGGTTTAGGGTTTAGGGTTTTGGGTTCAGGATTCGCTTTCTAGGGTAGGACTTTGGGTTTAGGGTTCGAGTGTCACCTTCACCTAAGAACCCTAAGCCCGAAACCAGCCCTTGTTTGGGGTTTGGGGTTTAGGGTTTTAGAGTTTAGGGTTTAGGGTTTAGGGTTTAGGGGTGAATTATTTCGATCTCTGTGCGGAAGGATGGGCTCCCTTATGGAACCGTTTAGGCCTAATCCCGAAGACCCTTAACAACCTGAAGCTGTGATCTTTCTAGTAGCCGTGATAAGGTCCTTCGGCCCTAAACCCAAAATCATCGCTTCCAGAACAACTTTTGCCCTAAACCCAAAACCCTAAACAAAAGTAAGCCCTAAATCCTAAACCCTGAACCCAAAGTAAGCCGTAAATTAGCTTTAAATGCCTCAAATCCTAAGCCCTACCTACCTCAACCCCCCAAAACCACCTGTTTAAGGATTTATATAATAAGGAACCCTAAAAAGGTAGGTTCTTTAGGGTCCAGGTAAACCCAAAGCCCCAAAATCATCGCCGCGGAGGTGGCCCTGATGTTGGCGCACGCTGCCAGTGCCTCGAAGTTTTTCCTGGTCGCCTCCGCGACCAACCTCAGGTCCCTGTCCTTTGTCCTCTTTTGGGGTTTAGGGTTCAGAGTTTTGCCCTTCAGATTCAGGGTTCAGGGTTTTAGACCCTAAACCCTAAACCCAAAACCCTAAAGCCTAAACCCCAAGCCGTTTTAGGCTGTTTAGGGGCTAGGGGTTTAGGGGGTTTGGGATTTAGTGTTTCTCTTGGGATGTTGGGGTCGACAGGGGCTTTTGGAGTCTGTATGGTTCACACTGTAGGGCTTATAGGGTTTCATAATTTTTGCCTTCAAAGGACTCATATTTTAACGCTTTTGGTCCCAAAGACCCCACTATGTAAGGCTTTTGATGCTAAGGGTAACATCTCTTAGGGCTTCATGGCTTATAGGGTTTTTTGGGCTTTACGGGGTTCCATCGGCCGTAAGAGGGTTTCTGGGCTGTCGTAGTGCCGAAAAACCACCCTAAAGGTTCAGGCCATACAGGGGCCGTGGAGCTGACTCAACACTTTGACCCGGTGTTCCTACGCTTTTTTGGGTGGTTGTATGTTTCAAGCCGCATTCTCGGACCATGTCATGCAACCCTAAACCCTAAACCCTAAGCCCTAAACCAGTTTCTCTGGGTACCCCGTTCTCCTGGCCGATTTGGCCTTCTGACTGTGGGATCTCTGCAGGTGGAAAAAGGAGCTCAAAAAAAAAACAGTTACTTTCGTTCGAGTATCGAAACAGGGTTCGTCATCTCCAGTACCGTCAACCTCAAACCCAGCCCTCTGTGCCTCGAACGGAACATCAGTGGTACCTCATCTAGGGGTCCTTATGTTGATGATTTTGCCAGGGGTTTAGGGTTTAGGGTTTAGGGTCAGCGCGAATCTTTACATTTTTCTCTTGTTTTCCTGCACTCATATAGAAGCCTAAATACCTACCAATACTATTTTGGGGGTTCCTGATTATTAGTAGGGTATATTATACCCCAAAACCCTATTGTAATTATCAAGGCTCCTACATTATGCAAAGTTGCCGCGGGCCGCCCAAGGTATCTCTCCGCTATCCCTGCTACATTGATGCACGCGTTCCAGGTCACACTGCATGTGGCTCGACAGCAGTTGGGATATCTGAAGCATATAATTTAACCCAGAAGCCGAAACCCTCAAAGCGTAAAGGTTGTTTGCTTGAACGTTTATTGCTGGGTCGATGGGGGAGAACTGTGCGTCCCTTCGTGCGCTGCACAGAGCTGTTGTTTCCAGGCCAAGTCTTTGCGAAAGTGCGGTTTAGAGCCTTTTGTTCAGGGTTTGAGGGCTTCTCGCGTTTTCGTTTTCTATAAACGCCTGAACCCTGAACAGAACCCAAAACACAAAACTAAACCCTAAACCTAAAACCTTTTTTGCTTGATTGTACTTGATTGACGTTCGACCCATGCCTGCGCACGCTTCCGGCATGAAGAAAGCTGGGCCCGTGCTCTCAAGGCTTTTGTTTTTGGAGTCTTAAACCAACCCCTAAACCCTAAACCCCTAAACCCTAAACCCCTAAACCCTACACCCGAAACCCTACAAAAGGCAGTTTTTTTTAAGTGGCGCCTTCGAGGTTTGTTTTTCAGGGTTTAGGGTTTAGGGTTTAGGGTTTAGGGTTTATACTTTTGTGAAGACGTATCAAGTACATTGTACAGTGTACTACAATTAGTTTATGAAGGAACCCTAGGATTCTCGGCTTCAGCGTTCGCCAGATCTTTTCTGCCTTTGCCCCGAAGTGCTTTTTCGCCTGCTCCGGATTCAAAGTTAGGGGCCTAAAGAAATTACGAATACTATTGTGGAGGGTTCCTTATGATATAGTATAATATACTCCAAAGCCCTATTCTACTCATTAAGGCCACTATTTTAGTGCCGTCGCCTGAAGTGCCTCTTCTTCCTTGTTGGTTCTTGTTGATGGGCACGAAGCCTTGAGGAACAAGGAGTCCCGCTCCTTCAATTCAAGTCAACCACAAGCAAGCTGGGTCTCTCACCTAAATCCATGATGAGCCCGGGATCTTAATCTCTATCCTTCAACCATCCCTACAAAGAGCCCAATACCCTTTAAATCAGAATCTAGAACTGGTAGCCTTTAACATGATCTACGGTATAATTACTAGTTACGGGCACCGGGTTCTTCAAATCATAAACTTGCCATAAGCATACCTGAATCTCTCGCATACCACCTTAAGTGCGTGCGAAACCTAATGAGCCCTTACAAAGCCCTACAGAAGCATGCAAAAGCTGCGTGCAAAACACAGAAAACTGCGCGGCACAACCCGAAAACCCCAAACCCCAAACCCTAAACCCTATAAACCCTAAAACCCTAAAGCCGCAAACCCTAAAACCCTAAAACCCTAAAGCCCCAAACCCTAAACCCTAAAACCGTAAAGCCTGTTTGCCGGGAGGTGGCGACGCTCAACTCGGAGGACGACCAGAGAGCGGGAGCACTGGGCCGTGTCGGCGCGTCCCTCGATCGGGGAGTAGTTGAAGCAGGCTTTGGGTTCATATACACACACGCATGTAAAGATGTATGTATATATACACGTTATATATATATATATATGTAAATATCTGTATGTATGGATATATAAATATCTGTGTATATATACACACGTAAATAGCTGATTGTATATTTACATATATACATATATACATATGTACATATATATATATATAGATATGTGCTGCAAAAAAGGCTCACCAGCCCTCTTTACATTGGATGCCTCGCATCGAGAAGTGTCGCGCCGTAGTCTTCGGTGTAAGTTCCGAAACGCAGAAAGCCTTGGTCCGAGATCTTAGTAGGTATAGGGTTTAGGGTGTAGGGTTTAGGGTTTAGGGGAAAGGTGTAGGGTTTAGGGTTTAGGGGTTTAGGGTTTAGGGTTTAGGGTGTAGGGGTTTAGGGTTTAGAGTGTAGAGTTTAGGGGTTTGCGGTTTAGGGGTTTAGGGTTTAGGGTTTAAGGGGTTTGAGGTTTAGGGTTTAGGGTTTAGGGGTTTAGGGTTTAGGGGTTTAGGGTTGGGGTTCAACTCTTCAATCCCAAAACCTGCAGCGCTATCAAGCCTTCAACCCCAGAAGGAGCCTCCGTCCTCGACCTCAGCCCGACAGACCCTGAGCCCTTAAAACCTAAACCCTAAACCCCCCCTTCCTATAGAAGCCTAAATAATTACCGGTACCATTTCGGGGGTTCCTAGTTATAAGTATAGTCTAAAGGGCCCCAAAAGCCTACTCTAATTATTAAGGCCCCTACACCCTAAACCCTTATAGTAGCCCTTATAGAACCCTTTAAAGGAACCCTGAAAAGGAACCCCCAAACCCTCTTCTAATTATGAAGCCCCCCCCACGTTACATGAGGCTCTACGGCATTGGCTTCCTTGCTGGCAGCGGCCTCGTCGTGGGAGCTTCGAAGTTCCCCGCCAACTTCGGGGATGAGATGGATACTTAGGGGTTGAGGGTTTGGGGGTTAGGGTTTAGGGTTTAGGGTTTAGGGTTTAGGGTTTAGGGGTTGAGGGTATAGGGTTTAGGGTCTAGGGTTTAGGGTTTAGGATATGAGTACAGTGTTAGTAGGTTCAAGGTTTTGGGTTTAGGGTGTAGGGGGTGAGATGGATAGTAGTAATACAGGGGCCTAAATACTTACCAATACTGTTTTGGGGATTCCTTATTTATTTATAGTCTAATGGGTCCCAAAACCAGGTCACGGCGTCAACCGTGA